GGACCATGACAAAAAGATGACTAAAAGATGTATGATTAAAAAGTGGGACTAGCAGATGGTGTAATGGTTATGTCACTGACTCCTACATATTTGACCACAGTTCGAGTCCCAGACCTGGCAGCTTAAAACTCATGCTGGGTGTGTGTGCCTGCATGTCTAAGATCCTGACAGGAGACTGGAGGAGAAGGGATTGTGGCATGGCCATCCACCCTGGGGGACGATTTCTCACTTTCTGTGTCTTTCTCACTGTCTTTCTTGCAAATGTACACACCTAATAATAAAAAACTCTTAAAAAATAATAGAAGAGAAAAAATTCTTGCTTAATTAAAAAGAAATAGAAAGAAATAAAAGAATATAGATGAGCTAGGTATGGTGGTTAAAGTGACTAGATCACACATAACAACTATGTGGTTGAGTCCTGGACCTCCAGGCTTAAAGAACATGCTGGGTGCATGTGCATACCCAGAATCCTGAAAGGAGAATGGAAGAGAAAAGATTGTGGCATGGTCATTACCCTAGAGGGTTGTTTTTTACTTTACCTCTCTTTCTTGCTCTCTGTCTCTCTCTAGTGACTGTATTGAGTGTATAGCAAACAAACAAACAAACAAACAAACAATAAATAAATAGATTGGGTCATCGGAAAAGTCATGATGCATTTTTATACAGAAAAACGCCTTTTATGAAGACCCAATAGAAACAAAAAACAGATGAGACGAAAAAAAAAATGCAAATCACATGTAGACTAAAAATCAATTTCTATCATTGCATATGTTTGGAGATGTTGAATCTCTTTGCTCATTAGTTGATAGAACAAACAAACAAAAATAACCATTGGCAAGGCTAGCCACAGTGGTGAGTACTGCTAAGATGCTGTGCTCTGCAGACTGAGATCACATGGGAGTCTTGGGTTTGATTTCCAAAGGGCAGGACACCGTGGTACAAACCTGTAATCCCAAAAATTTGTAGAGGCTGAGGCAGGAGGATAGCGAGCTTGAACAAGCCTGGGCACCACAGTGACACTTACTTTCAAAAAAAGAGCCTATAATCTCAGTTGAGAGGTTTAGGGTGGAAGATTGTGACAAAAGTGAAAATACAGAATGTTGGAATTCTATGATTACACAGCTTGACACTGACTACATATTGGGCCATAAAACCAGTCTCAAAATGTCAATAGACCGAAATCATTCACAGAATGATATTCAGTGACCACATGAAATTAAACAAATTTTTCAGAAAGTTTTCCAGAAAACAAAAAAATAAGGGAATTCTTTCCAACTGGTTTAAAAAAGCCAGAAATAGTTCAATACCAAAACTTCATAAGCATCTTATAAAAAAGTAAAATTACACGCAAAAATTGCTCATAAGGTATTTTCCCTGATACTGTAGGTCTTATGTTAGAATCGTCTTATGTTAGAAGGAATTCCTTCTCCATTCTTCTGTTGGGATTTTTGGGCATGCACATATATACACCTGGCATGATTTCAAGCCACTGGATCCAGGACTGAAACTGTGCTTGGCCATTTGGGAGTCTAGCACCTTAACCGCTACACCACCTGCTGGCTCCAGAATCTGATGCTTTTAAAGTGTTAGTTCTAATGGGCATAAATGAATATTGGAATTTCAGACTACAAAATAATAATCTGAAGATTTATCATTATTTTAAAGGATATTTTAAAATCTGATGCATCTTTGTTATGAATAAAGCCTAGGGCATTTTGAAAACAGGCTCAGACTAAGATGGAAGAACATTAAGTTACTAGTATTTCTGTTTTTGATTAATATCAGGCATATAATTACACAAAGTCTTGATACAAGAATGTGAACAAATAAATTACAAATATATATACTTTGTTACTTTTGGTCTCTTTTCAAGCAAATTATTATATATACTTCTTCATTCAAAAGATTTTCCCTTTAATATTGCTCTAGTCTATTCTGAAGCTAGTAACAGAAAATACCTGATTCTGAATAATGTAAGAAAACAGAGGTTTCTTTAGTTCATAGTAGAAGGTCCAAGGTCCAGTGGCCACATCCCACAGAGACTCAAGGTATCACATCATGAAGGCAAGAGCAGGGTGGCTATGCCCATCACTTTCCCTTATCTGGTCTCCCTCCTTTCCTTAGAAGCCCATCAGAGAACTCCATCATGGATGCCCCTGCCCTAATGAGCATAATCCTAACCTCTTCCCAAAGGTCTAATCTTTCAACACCACAGTCTAAGTTTTCCACTCTCTTAATCACCAAGTCTCATCACCAAGTATTATCACCACGTCTCAATGGTGGGGGGTACTCAAACCATAGCAAATATTAAAGAAAATAATAGAATGCTTAATGGCTGGGATACTCATTCTTAATAAGGAAATGGCAATGTACTTTTGCCACTTCAGTAACATGTACATAGATTCATCTTACCAGCTAATTGTAAGCATCTGGCTAATTCCATTACAGAACACGTTAACAGCTTCATTTTCTAGGTTCTTTTTCTTTCTTTCTTTGTTTCTTCAAAGCCAAACTGTATCTAGCTTTATTAAAGATACTTTTCATAAACAATCGTGGTATTTCAGCCAGGACATGTGTACAACAACTTTCAACCTCCTTCTTCAATGGACTACCAAAATTAGAAAGCCACTATAAAACCCAATGAATTCTTCATCTGATGCTCTGAACAGGAGAAGTTTAGAGTGAGGGTTGACATTTCACATTTGTTTAACAACTTTTCACGAGCCAACCCTGACTTTTGGGAAATGAATATGGCAGAATTATTAACCTAACGATCCAACAATATAGAAAAGGAACTGTTGCTCTTTTGAAGGATGCCATCTTAAATATCATTGAAAAATCCAGATTGCCTGATACACTGGTATAACCAATGTTTTGTGGTCAGGTCCCAACAGGTCTCTGGTTTAAGGGAGTTAAGTCTATGCTTAAGGCAGAGAAGGAGAGGACATAAAAGCAAATGTTAAGTTTTCCACACCACAAGGCATCTGTGCCAAGGTGGCTACATATTTCAGGGAATCCCTCCTCTGAGGGGCCAAGAGGAAGTTTCTCAAAACTAGAAGGAAAAGATGATACCCAAATCAGTCTAGCTTCAGAGACATTCCATTAGTGACAACTGCCCCTCTCCCCAAAAACAATGAAGTGTTCTGTGTGCTAACAACATAGCTTTAAAAAAGTAAAAGGGACCAGCAGTTAGCATAATGACTATGTCGCTGGACTCCCATGTAGTCGACCGCAGTTTGAGTCCCGGACCCTGTGGCTGAAAACTTATGCCGGCGCCAGCAGGTGGCGTGAAGGTTAAGGTGCTGGATCCCACATGGCTAATGACTGCGGTTCGAGTCCTGGAATATGTTTTTCACGCTGGGCGCGTGTGCATGCGTGCCCAAGATCCAAGAAGAGAATGGAGGAGAAGGGATTGCGGCATGACCATCCCCCCGGGGGGTGATTTCTCGCTTTCTGTCTCTATGTCTCTGTCTGGCGAGCGCACGTGCCCTATAGCGAAAAAACCTCTCCAAAAAAAAAAAAAAAACAAACCCAAACTCATGCCGGGCGTGTGTGTATGTGCGTGCCCAAGATCCCTAGAGGAGAATGGAGGAGAAGGGATTGCAGTGTGGGCATCCCCCCTAGGGGGTGACTTTTCGCCTTCTATCTCTCTGTCTCTCTCTGTCTGGTGAGCGCATGTGCCCTATAGCAAAAACCTCTCCAAGAAAAAAAAGGTAAAACAAAATTCTGAATTTTTATAAAACTCAATAAAAGACAGTATTTCAAATTGTACAGTCACCAGAAGTACAGTTACTAGAAATGCACACACTTCACTTGGCACCTCCAGCACCTTAAGCTTTCTGTGCTTGGTGTGTTTAGGCACCTCCATTTTCTGCAGGGTTATTCCCATCCTTGTCAGAATCAACTTTTTCCTTTTTTCCTTTGGGTATCTTCTCTCCCTTCTTTGCAGGAGCCTTTTGAGGCTTGGGCTCTAGCTTTGGAGGAGCAGGTTTAGTAGACAATCTTGCAGTTCTTCTCTGTGGTTTGTCCTTCACCTTGGCTTCATCTCCTTTAGCATCTTCTTCAGCCTTTCTCTTGGGAAACAACGGCATGACGTAGGTGTTGGACGCAGGGGATGTAGCAGCACACAGGCTTTGGTGGGTCCAGCGGTCTCTCTCACCTATTTTTCTTTACACTGCTCCTCTTCTAGGTTATTTTTCCATTAGCTTTAGATGTGAGTTCCATCTAAGCTTTTTTTTTTTTTTTAAGAACATTTATTTATTTATTATTATTTTTTAATTTGACCAGAGACAGAGCAAGAGAAAGGGAAAGTGAGAGAGCAAGCTCTCAGGCCCAGGACTCAAACTGCAGTCAGCCATGTGGGAGTCCAGCACTCTAACCATAATGCCACCTGCTGACCCCTCATTCTAAGTTTTAAGGGAAAGAGACAAAGCAAATGTGGCAAACACACATTCATGCCTAGACACAATTTCTAAAAAGAAGAAAATCATATTCATATTATTTGTGCAAACTAATCTGAAAACATCTGTTTCATACATGGATACTGTTCCTTATATAATAATACCAAGACATATACAACTTAGAGATCACAAATATTTTTCTCTTGCCTCATGACAATTTTCTATCTCCAATGCAAGAGTCATGTTTGCCATACCCACTACAGGTATCTTTTAGTTAACTGAATTCTGAAATCCACATTTAAATGGAGTCATCTCAATGCACTGTTTCTATATTATTTTTCAATTAAAACAGCATTCTGACTTTTTGGGCTCCCTTATACATACTTCCTTTTAATTTAAAGGTGCATATGACCATCTATGTCATACAACATCAAAATTCAAGACTACCATTTGGGACAGCTTCCCCCTCTTCCATCTAATTAGAAAATTATTATGGCAGTTAATCTAGTACAAATAATATACTTAAAACAGAAACATCTTAAAACATAATCCAGTTGTTAGTAGCATTATTTCTAGTTTAGAAAACTACTTTTTGCTTACCATTTCTAACAGTTGTATTTTCCAGCAGTTCTGTCTGAAGCTGTAGCTCAGCTTCTCCAAGTATTTTCAGAACAGAATCTGTAGGGCTTTTCCCCCAAACTTTTCTTGGAGATCCACCAGGATCTAATTTAATAACTTCTCCCACTGTATGCTCTGTAATAAAGGGATACAAAGAAATAATATTCAATGACAGAACATAAAAATACTTCATTACAAGGTAAGTTTGAGATCTTTTATCTAAGTACTTCAAGAGAAAAAATATTTTATCAAAAATATTTCTAGGTAATGAGTGAAGAATGATGGCAAAAACTGGAGCAACTGAGACTAGCAATAAAATAATAAATATCTACAACTGCCTTTTAGAATATTTATGAACTAAATTCTAGTTTGAGGAACTATAAAAATAGACAAATTAATATTATATTTCTATAAAATTTATTTGAAAAAATCCTAGTATTCTAGAATGCAATATTATAAAATTATTATAGTCTTAAGGACCAGCAGGTGGTGTGGTAGGTAAAGGCAGTAGATTTCTACATGGCCAATTGTGGTTGAGGCCCTGGACCTGGACACTTGAAAATCACAACTGGCATGTGTGCACATGTGCCCAAAATCCCACGAGGAGAATGGAGGAGGAGGGATTATAGCGTGGCTATCTCCCCTGGTGATTGTGGGGTGATTTTTCACTTTCTCTCTACATCTCTCTCTTTAAGTGCATGTATACTATGGCAAAACCTAAAACAAACAAAATAACCCAAAAATATACCCTAGAATATATATTATTATATATTGCTTCATGTTACTACATGTTACACATAATATTATATTATTATATATTATATACATAAGATTATATAATATGCACTATATTTTAAAATATGTCAATATGTCGTATTATAGAATGTAAATATTAATAAATTAATATTTTTTCATAAATATAATAGAAAAGAATAGAAAACAAATCTTAAGGTAAATATGCACATGGATTAAAAAGTGAAGAAAATATTTGTAAGAAAATTTGTCTTATTTTACCTTATATGTCATAAGTAGGCAACTGACACTTCCTTTATAATAACAAATTTAAATAATTCATTTGAATAAAATTTAGCAATGAAAAAATAGAAAATTATCTAATAAAGTTGAATCTTTAGAACATCTGATAATAATACATGATATATATATATATAGGTATCTAGAATATACATAGGAGATAATATCATGTATGATGGGATAGATGTCATAGAGACTTTTGATGTTAACCTTACACATGCTGATATGGTTGTATGTACCAATTCCATGAAAGTAAGTACACACAAATTTGCATGGTGCAGCCAGAATAATTACCAATATGAAACTAATTTTAAAAGGAAGGCTAAAACGGAGTTGAGAACTCAGAAATAGATCCATATCTCACATTTGACGAAGGTGCCAAAGCAATACGATGTGGTAGTGGGAGTCTCTTTAACAAACAAAACTAGAATAACTTGAGAACCCATAAGAAAATAATTAAATTCAACCTCTTCAATACAGGAGGGGAAAACACAGGAGGAGTATGCTGTTAGAGCAAGTGGGAGTGGCCAGACTGGGGAAGAAGACAAAAACTCAAAGCACTGTACACAGAACCAGTGATGAATGATCTAATATGCTCCAGTTAGGATTTGACGTGCAGAATGCCAGAAGTAGGCTCCAGGATGCGAATAAAGAGAGCTCCAGGAGAAGCCCTCTTGTTCTAGCCTGAGCGACGAGGAAGGAAAATCTGAGTGTTCAGACAGCGAAAATCGTCCAGTATTTTCTTCTTTCTTTACTCTGTTATCTCCTTCTAGCCGTTATGCAATCCCATGGTGGTAGGAGAAATAGATGATAACAGGAATCCACAGGGGACAAAACTGGGAGCGAGAACATTTCCTTTCTGTTTGGTAGAGACTCAGGTATTAAGAGGATGTCTCACTTTCTCTTTCACTGTCTCTCTGTCTCTCTTCTGTGAACACACATGCCCTATGGCAAAAAAAAAAAAAAAAAATCTTAAAAAAAAAGAAAGAAAGAAAGAAAGAAAGAAAGAATAGGGGCTGGTCTGTCTTTGCTATTTTTGTCTAACTTCTGGCCGGATGACCAGAGAGGAGTTCTGGGAAACCAGAAAACATCAGGGAATAATGAAGACAAGAAAACTACAAGAAGTGATCACATACTCAATACACTGATCCTATTCAGTGTACAAAAGATTCTGGAAATTGAATGATAAGATTACTCCTCGGGTCTCAGAGTGGGGCAAATGCTTAGCAGAACTGAATAGCACTGACAGGCTTTGAAAAATGAAATCATATTGGAACCAAGAACCAGAGAAAGACGATAGGAACACATGGCCTGACCCTGTGCTGACTTCCTGTTATAGCAGAAACATCATCATTTCCCATGAGATTCAAACAAGACCCAAAGTCACATAAGATAATATTTGAAATATCCAGGGCACAATTAAAAATTGCAAGGTATAAGAAGAAGAGAGGAAAAAAATTTAACTCTTAGAAGATAATTTCATATATCTCAGATGTCAGAACTACATGATATAGATTTTAAAACAGCTATTAATAAAAATGCTCCAGGAAGCAACTATGAGAGCTCTTCATAGCAATGGAAAAAACAGAAAGTCTGAGAAAAGAAATAGAAGATATAAAGAAAATTATATGAAATTCAAGTTTCAGTTCTATAAATAAAAATTTTTTGAAACACAGTCATGCTTGTATGTATTGCTACTTTTGTGCTACAATGGTCAGAGTTGAGACTCAGGTTGGAACCAATACTATATAGCCTGAAAGGCTTAAAACTTTAGGTTGTTGGCAAAGTCATGACGTGTTTTTCTATGCAAAAACGTGTCATGACTTTCCTGACAACTAATATTTACTATCTGGACAGTTAGAGAAAACATTTGTTGACTCTTTTTAAGACTCCCTGTGCACTCTCTACACTGTTGGCTGGCACCCACGTACAGTACCCAGTGTGATCTGACTCTGCTTTGCCTTCGAAGGCTTCTGGCCTGCCATTCTTTGTTTTGAATTTTCAACTTGAGCCCTTCATGCTCAGTCATATCCAATTGCCAGAATTTCATAAGCTCTCTCACCTTTGTGCCTTTAGCCATTCTCTCCCTAAACGCACCTGCTTGGTTTTTAGTTTAGCTAACCTCTTCTTTCCCCTGGGCATATTACATATTCCAGGACGCAGTTTCTTAGTCCTTCACAGACTGGTTCAAAACCTCCTGCAATTCTTACAGTAGCCCAAGATTATTCCTCACATATTATCTGTCAACCCACTTGCCTCTTTACTTGCTTCCTTTTCCACTAAACTCTAACTCCTTAACCATTATTGTATCTCCCTGCTCAGAAGTGTCTGTCATATAACAGGTACTTAACAAAGAATTCAAATAACTGAAATAAATGTGATTAAGTCTTTGGATTTAACAGCCCATCAAAAAAGTTATTTAAAAATTAGACTTGTGGGCCCAGCAGGTGGCATGGTGGTTAAGAGTGCTGGACTCCCACATGGCCCACCACAGTTGAAGTCCCAGACCTGGTGGCTTGCTTTCTCTCTCTCTCTCTCTCTCTCTCTCTCCCCTTCTCTCTCTCTCACTCTGTCCCTCTCTGGTCAAATATACATACATACAAACATACATAAATAAAGTTTTAAAAAAATTTAAGAAACAATTAGACTTGTTCCTGCTCAGATTTGCCCTTTTAAACTCCACAGGAGCACATATCTTTCTGTTTTCTTCATTGCTATATTCTAGTGCCTAGGGCAATTAGGAAAATAGTAGATCCTCAGTAATTATTGCTAAATAAATGAATCATTAAATCAGATCTTCTCAATGCCCTTGCTAAATTTGCCTAAGGGTCCTTTCTGAAATTTTATTAAAGTTCAATACTCTGGTTATCATGAAGAATTATTCCAGTAGCAGATTAGTCTAATATAGGATAAAGGGTTAAAGCAATACAACTTACATATACATCATTAGTTTCCTCTCTTACACTACAAACACTTTGTAATAAATATCCCCCCCTTTTAAATCTTTCCAGAGAGAGAGAGAGAGAGCAAAAGAGAAAGAGAGAGAAAGATTGAGCATGAGAAAGCATTGCCCTCCCCGCCCATGGGACATGGTCATGTTACCATCCCTTCTCTTCCATTTCTCCCACCTTTTGGGATTTTGAGCACACAAGCAAATCCACCCAGAGTGTTTCTCAAGCTGCCTGGTCCAGGACTTGAACCACACAGTTGGCCATGTGAGATCCAGTTGCCTTAACTGCCACACCAATGGTTGGCCTGAAAGAAAGAATCTTTTCTATTCTTAAGGCTGAAGGCTGAATATTTTCTCCATTTTTCATATTTCACTAGGGCAAGGAGGCACTTCTACTCCCCAGAAGGAAAACAGGAATTTCCCAGCCTTTTCAATCCCTTTAAGTGTTGCTTCTTTCAGCGACCACTCTATAAATTTATATGCTATACATACTTGCAGTTGCAGAGAAGGATGTATCCAGTGTTAACGTATCCAGAGGAATTACAAGTTGACCTCCCGCCTCCCACTTCTTGCGATCACATGAAACTGACTTTTCTTTGTCATGTTCTTTGGCTTCTTCATTAATTATCTCACAAGCGTCAGTGTGATGCTGCTTTTCTTTTTCACTTTCTTGAGCTTTAAGATTTTCATTTAATCTACGTAGTATTTCTCGTTTGCTCTGAAAAAGTTAAGTTATATTTTAATATGTACACGAGTAACAAAAACGATTGACGGAGAAACCCTGCAAATTGTACTTACTGAGACAGCACTGTTGGCCTTTTGTATTTCTTCTGAGGTTTCCGGAGTATCAGTTAAACTTCTGTCCTTTACACAGAGAATAAGAAATAGTGTTATTTTAAAAGTCTGCTTTTAAAAATCTGACGTCTTTGCTACTTTTTGTTTTGTATTAAACTGCTCCTTGTGAACTGATTTATTCCTGCAAAATGTTAACATGGCTTTCTTCATTACTGGTAATGATAAATATTTAAATATTATCAACTAATAGACAATATAGAGAAGGGCCAATTCTCAATTATTCGTCATATTTCTGGATTACTGCTTACATATTTAACTGTCTGTACTTTCTCTTTGACAACTGATTTTTAGTCATTTTAAGTCAGTAATAGAAATAAAAAGAAAATTAATTCATATATTCTCTTAATGGAACTAGGAGATGCTTTGATGAATAAAGTAATTTAAGATAGGGTATGTTATTTTGAAACTGCTTTTATATTTCATGTATGTATATTACCGTTAAGTCATACTACTAAAACATAATTGAGAACTGGCTTTCCTCCCTAAGCAAAAGGTATAAGACTTCTGTCATTTACACTACTAATTTTATAAATTTTGTCTCCTGATTAGTATACTCAAAGTAGACCACCTAGATTTAAAAAAAAAAAAAAAAGAAATTAGTAGTTAAAAAAGCTATGAAAGTAAAGGTACCTAGAAAAGTCAAGTAAGTAAGATCAATTTTCTAAGTTCTATGAAAGTGATGTTTACTAACAAAACACACACACACGCACACGAACCATTTAGTGACATGGGTTAACTCAAATTTTGAAATATTTGGGAAAAAACCAAGAGTACAGTGGTCAGTTTTCAAGTAACACATATAAGTGAGACAAAGAACATTTTACCCAGCAGAGCAGTCAGGAATTAGCGGTCACTACAACCAGAGATGAACAGCTACTTGAGATGTGAGACTGGGTACCAGGAAGGGAACCACACAGAGATATCTAGAGCTGAAGTGAACAACGTAGCACATGCAAAGTCGTTATCAGGAAGAAAAGGAGACTAACTTAACTTGAAGAACAGTATTTTCTTATATGAAGCTCTTGAAAGTGATCAAGGAACCTTTATTTTCCTACTTGGTCTTATTTTCAAGAAAAACAGAAAGGCTGGAAAAAAAATTATGTACCAATAACCTGTGTTGATTGCAAAAACTTAATGAAATTCAACAAATAGAAAACACAGACACTGATTACCAGGTAAAGAGAAAGTGAGTTAATCTGTTACATTTTGAGTCAGCAGACCTTTTCCCATCTGCCTGTTGAATTCCAGGCAGGAACCACATTATGTGTCCATTTCTCAACTTTGGAATAGTTGTCATACTTTAGATTTTGATACACACTTTTTAAACTTTTTTACTTGCCCACATTTCTTTGTTTTACATAATATCTATTCAGAAGTTACAGGCAAAAGGAATAATTAATGAATTATGTGTAATTGCACTGAGTCCTTAACATTTGCTATGTCACAAAATTTTCAACAAATGTAAACATGTATTCAACTTTACTCCTAGACTTATTTTAAGTACCAAGGAAATACTATTTTTTTTTTTTTTAAAGTGGACATTTGGGGACCAGCAGTTAGGTAATGGCTATGTTGTTGGAGTCCCACGTAGTCGACCGCTGTTCGAGTTCTGGATCCGGTGGCTTAAACTCACGCTGGCGCATGTGTGTGCATGCCCAAGATCTCAAGAGGAGAATGGAAGAGAAGGGATTGCGGTGTGGCCATCCACCCTGGGGGGCAATTTCTCGCTTTCTGTTTCTCTGTCTCTCTCTGTCTTTTGGGTGAGCACATGTGCCCTATAGCAAAAACCTGTCAAAAAAAAAAAAAAAAAATGTGGACATTTGTTAATTGTGAAGGTTCGGGTCTAAAAATGTTTGCGGGATCATTTTCAGTACATTTCCAAGCACGTCTTTCCTTAGTTTAATATTCTTTTAAAGTAGAAAAGAGTCATTTTAATATATTTTTATCTACAAGATAATTCCAGAGTAAATAAAAAAATATTAAGAGGTTTTTCTCTATAAAAACCTAGATGAATATTAGGAATTAATGTTATTTCATTAAATTTAAATTCCTCTAAAATAATCTTTTAAATTTGAGTAGCTCAAAATTTTAAGAAACTTACCATACCCACTTCTTTCAAAGCTGAAGTGACAGAAATAACAGGTCTCAATTGCTGTTTTGATGGAGAGCCACTTGCTTCATTCTGGCCCAAAGGTGGAGAAACATCAGAACTCTTTACTCCTTTAGCCACCAACTACAAAAAATAATATAATTAAATATATTAGAGACTTTATATTTGCATTTAAAAAATGGTGGCTGCACGAGAAGTTTTCTTGTTTCTTAATTATTGATTGAGTAAGGAACTCTGTCAGATGCTTTAAAGAGCAGTGAATACAGGAACAATGTTTGGCCTAAGATTAAACATAATTGTCATGTAGTTTGAAATAATTTGCTTCTACTGCATTGCCACTATTTCATAAAAGAATCCCAAAAAACAAAATGTCTTCTAAAAGATTCAATTTTAACCCTCTTATTTGAACTGTAATCGTTACAACATTTGGTAGGAGGAAAAAATATTTATTAATCTTACACTCCACAAAAGAAATGCTTCTGCAGTTTATTCAAGTTTTGCTACAATCTCCTTAAGGTCTGAACATTTATCATTCAACACATGAGCCTTAATTATAAAAATGTCAACATAAAAAAAAATGGAAGAAACGACAAGTATAGTTAAGATTTATTTCATGAAAATACGACATTATATTTATATATGTGTTTGTTTTTATTTTGTCATTTAGACTCTAAATAATATGAACCTTTAGTAAATGCAACAAAAAGGCATCTACAGGTGTGTTAATAGTACCATGGCAGGAAGTCCACTCCCTACTTCCACTCTTCCTCCAGCCAGTAAACAAGTCTTTCTGGAGAGTATTCATTTTAAATGGAGTATTTGTTAAGCATCTTTTAAGAATGAAGTATACAGTTCTAGTTCAGGCCTGTGGTGTGGTGGTTGAGGCAGCTGGATCCTACATGGCCGACTGCACTGCTGGAGTTCAGAACTGGAGGCTTTGGATACATGCTCAGCAAGAGGCCAGGACCCTGAGAGGAAACTGGAGGAGAGGAGAGTGGCCTGGCTGTCCCCTGGAGGTATTTTCTCACTTTCTATCTCTTTCTTTCTGGCAAGCACCTCTAGTAAACTGCAGTAAAAAAAAAAAAAAAGTAGGTTCTAATATTTAAGATTCTTGACTTGTACTCTGTACCAATGTCTATTTTTTTCAAAACAAGATGTAAACTTTTTAAAAAAAATTTGCTATAGAGGGGTGTGCTTGCCAGAGAGAGAGAGAGAGAGAGAGAGAGAGAGAGAGAAAGAGAGAGAGAAAGCACTCTATTCTTCAGTATATTTTAAGATCCTATGAGGGACCAGCAGATGGCCTAATGGTTTCGTTGCTGGACTCCCATGTGGCTGACCACAGTTCGAATCCTGGACCTGGTGGCTTAAACTCACGCCAGGCGCGTGTGTGTGCGTGCCCAAGATCCCAAGAGAAGACTGGAGGAGAAGGGATCATGATGTGGCCATCCCCCTTGTTGGGTGATTTCTTACTTTCTATCTCCCTGTCTGTCTCTGTTTCTCTGGTGAACACACACACTCTATAGCAAAAATCTCTCTTAAAAAAAAAAAAAAAAAAGAAAAAGATCCTATGAGTTAAATAGGGTATTAATAGATCAAAGATAATAAAATTAGGTACAAATTGTGATTATGCAAAGATAGGAAAGGTCGGGACTGGCAGGTGGAGTGGTGGTCATGGTGCTGGACTCCCACATGGCCTACTATGGTTCAAATCCCAGACCTGGCAACTTGTTTTCTCACTTTCCCTCTCTCTCTGGTCAAATTAAATAATAAATACATACATACATACATACATACATAAAATAATTCTTTAAAAATAAATAGGAAAGGTCCATTACATTCTCTTTACACTATTCACCTTTGCATCTACAGAAACAAATCGATCAACGAAAGGTATTTTTAGTGAAGAAAGTGTCTCAAACATTACTATTAAAAATTTTATTGCATTTTATTAAAAGCTGATTGGCACGGCAAGTAGGTGCCACAGTGGCTAAAGGCCACCCACATGGCTGACTGAGGTTCAAGTCCCGGACCTGGAGGATTGATTCCTCACTTTCCCTCTCTGTCTCCCTCTGGTGAACACACAAGCCCTGCAGCAAATTAAAAAAAATAATAACAATAAATAAAATAAAAGAAATAATACCAGAAAAAGCTGATTGGGGGCCATGTAATGGCTAATGATTAGTAGATAGTCTATGATCCAAAGTATTGAATGCAATGTCTAAGACAACTTACTGGCACCTTTATAATAATGATCCCTCCCTCCTCTTTCTCTCTGACAAGTGCACGCACTCTGAAAGAAAAACTAAGAGCGAACAAACAAAATCTTGGCATTTGCCACAACATGGATGGACCCGGACATTATACTGATCGAAACAAGTCAGACACAGAAAGAAAAACATTATATAATCTCGCTTATATATGGAATCTTAAGAAAACAGTTGGTTACATAAATGTATAGAGAACTGAAAAACAAAAACCAGAAAAAAACAGGTGGGGGAAAGAAAGGTAATAGAGAAATGTAGGTAAAAGAATAGCAGTATATATATAAAATAAGTAAGTCTAGAGATTAATGTGCAATATGAGAACTGGTTAAAATCATATTATATTAGGTATTTTTTCAAATAAGCAGATTTTAGCTGCTTTTATTAAAAAAAATAACTGTGGGAAGCCAGCAGGTGCCATGGTGGTTAAGGTGTTGAACTCCCACATGTCTGACTGCAGTTCAAGCCCTGAACCTGGTGGCCTGCTTTCTCTCTCTCTCTTTCTCTCTGGTCAAATTAAATAATAATAATAACAATAAATTTAAAAAAACTCGTGAGATAATGTTTGTTTCACTATAGCAACCATTTAACCATCTATGTATAGCATACAACATGAAAAAAGGAAAGAAAAGGAGTATCAGTGTGATTACAAAAGCAAAGGGAAACCTTGAAAAGAGTAAGACCCACAGTAGCTATTTGGGTCTGGGTATCACAAAGTAATTTATGGTCTCATCAGGTTTTCCTAGTGGAACAAATAAACTCCAACTCCAAACCTTTTGATATTCTGCTCAAGCTTTAAGTCCTGGGAGAGAACAGAATTGGTCTATTTTGGAACACCTGCCTATCACTCAGCTGGAAGAAGCCAGAACACCTTGTTTGACTGAAATGGTACACTATAGAATAACTTCCCCGAGGCTGCTTTCTGGTGGACATCAAATCCAGGCTTGTAATGACAGTATAAAGCTTATACCATAAAAACATTACTGGAATAACATGAAAAACACAAACAAAAACCAAAACAAAAACCAAAAAAAAAGAACAAAGTTGTACCATACTAAAACTAAAATTATCTACCAATAAAAGTCACAGACTCTGACGCTGTGTGTACTCTAGACCTATCTAAGACAGATATATCATTAAAGGGAGAAAAATATATGCAGAGAAAAAAAACTTAACACTGGTTTTCATTACCTAGAAAACAAAGACTTTTTTTTTTTTAATCTATTTTTAGGTTTTTGCCATAGGGTGCAGGTGCTCATGGGAAACAGTGTGAGAGTGAGACAGAGAAAGAGAAAGTGAGAAATCACCCCCTGAGTGAATGGCCATACCACAATCCCTTCTCCCCTTCTCTTCTCAGGATTTTGGGCACATATGCACATGTATCTGGTGTGATTTTCAGGCATCTGGGTTCAGGGCTCGAAAACAAAGACTTTTAATATGGACTACATAAGTATATAAAAGTCGTGAAAGTGTGTATCTGATGGGTGTAACAAGGCCTGGTGCAACATTCTAGCAGTAGAGAAGCCTAGCTCCAATCAGTCATTGGATAAAACAGAACTATGCCACTGTGGAGGTATACAGAGCCACACAGCAATAAAAATATTATATAATAAAGAATGTAGAATACTTGCTCAGACCTGAGTCATTGCTTGACATAATCTATAAAATATATATGCACTTGGGACCAGCAATTAGCGTAATGGCTATGTCGCTGGACTCCCATGTAGTTGACCGCAGTTAGAGTCCCAGACCTGGTGGCTTAAACTCACTCCAGGCGCGTGTGCGTGCGTGCCCAACATCCTGAGAGGAGAATGGAGGAGAAGGGATTGCGGTGTGGCCATCTCCCCCTGGGGGGTGATTTCTCACTTTCTATCACTCTGTCTCTCTCTGTCTTTCTGGCGAGTTCACGTGCCCTATAGTAAAAACCTCTCCAAAAGAAAGGAAGAAAAATATATATGTACTTATTGAATCCCAAGAGTGTTTCCAGAGGTGCTCTCTCTCCCCCTCTACCACCACCACCACCATCACCACTATTACTACCACGACTGATGAAACTTCTGTTTCTCTTGCTTAGGAAAAGTTAGTTTAATGTTAGGAAAATCATCAGAAGAGTGGCTTTGAAATGGGATCCTTAGTATAAGTGCAATTTTGGTTCTTTCTGATGGTCTTTTATTAATTTCATTTTTTTAATACATTCAATCACGTTATTATTTGGCTTACAAAATGGATATTTCAACCTGATGTTCTTGAATCCTTCAACATTAAATTAACATATCTTACAGAGATCTCTAGAGTAACATTACTGTCCCCATGACACTTGACACATACCATGGCTCAAAATTTATCACATGATGTGTCCATATAAATGGATAAGATTAGTTAGCAAGACCAAGGATAAGAACATTCTGAAGTAGCTAGAAAAAGGGAGTGTGCCCACCCTGAAGGAAGCCTCATAGGCCTGTATAGAAGGTCTAACATTAGAACAAGGATAAACAGAAATAAAATATTCAAAGAAGAGTCAATGCAATAAAGAAGGAACTCATGCTATCCAAAGTATAGTGTCTAACCGAATCAGAGAATAGACTTGCACAGATATGCTGCCTAAATTGATGTTAATAAATATGCAGACTATGTCCTAGGCTATAATAACTTAATGAAAATAAGATAAAAGAGCTCCATTTACAGATGCTGAACTGCAATCCAGGGATGTCAAAAGGAGTGGCGAGAACCATGAGAGTAAGAATTTGTAAGGCCCAGGCACTTTGGCACAGTGGCTGTGCAGCGCTCTGCAAAGCTGGAGACCACGTGGAAGATCGAGTTTCAGTTCCTAGGTGCAAATGATCCTGGCTGGCTGAGAAGGCT